GAGTTGGTTGCATACAGTTATATAGGGAATTCGGAAGACAATTGTGATCCGGATTTTTTTTTCTCCGCCCTGGTGGGCAGGGTGGAGAAAAAAAGTGGGGTCACCAAACTAAGTGAGCTCCCAAATTTTGCACTAGCGTCCCTTGTTAGAAGGACTTTCCAAAAATGGACTGCACTAAAAAGTGCATCGGCAATCAAAGAGCTTTCTCCGTCCCTACGTTTCCTGAAGAAGAGCTGAGGTAGCATAGAATTTGGAAATTTGGGACCATAAATGGTAGAGCCGGTCCTCTTCAAACAGCTTCTTTCACATGAATTATGCAAGATAAGATAGCTGACCAGCAGAGTCCGTAAAGTCCCATACCGCTCCTTATGCCCCTCCTTAAATTTTTGCCAAAGTGACTCGGTGGTGTTTGTGCAGGCACCGGTGAGAGGATCAGTAAAGTGCAGCTTGTGATTTACCGTAAAATACTGTTACCCATCAGGCAGGTCTTGAATGCTGTCATAAGCTGCCAACTTATCCAAAATAACAGTAGTACCCGGGAGGGTATAGTGCCGAACAAGCGGCACAAGGGTAGCGGCATCTCTGTGCTAAACTGCAACAATAAAGCACGTATTGTCCCCTCTCTCGATCCCTCCAAAACACCACTGCTGTGGAACAAGCCTTCTTTTATTTATTTTTTCTGCGGGCCAAGCCCGTCTCATCAATCTCGACGACTTTGCCTGGTCCGCCTAACTTAACAGGATGCGCGTTAAAGTAAGAGACGCATACATCCCGGAAGGCTTTGAAATAAGAAACGATAGTGGCGGAGCTTATTGTACTGTCAGTTTCCCGGCGCATGTCCAATGCAATTTGGTCGTATACTGGCATGCGAACCTAGGTCTAACAGTTTTGGCTTTTAAATTCCTCTTTCAAAAAACGTCTTCACTCGAAACCTCACCTTTTTCCTGTAAACCCTCTTTTTGCATCAAAAATACCTTCTCCGCAAACTACCGTCTTTATTCCTATTGGCAGTTAGGGTCATACCGCTGCCGCAAAAACAAACTCGCTAAACGAAAAGAATTCCAAGCATTTGAATAAAAGCCTCAAACTTTTCATCAGAAAGCGTAAGATTCTGAGAAAGATCCTGATGACCGAAACTACGCAAGCAATCCATTGAAGTTCAAGAAAACGCACACCA